CTGGAAGTAAATCCCTCTATCAATCTGGTTTCTGGAAGTAAATCTCTCTATCAACCTGTGTCCTGGAAGTAAATCCCTCTATCAACCTGTGTCCTGGAACTAAATCCCTCTATCAACCTAGTTCCTGGAAATAAATCCCTATATAAACCTGGTTCCTGAAGTAAATCTCTATCAACCTGGTCCCTGGAAGTAAATCCCTCTATCAACCTGGTTCCTAGAAGTAAATCCCTCTATCAACCTGTGTCCTGGAAGTAAATCCCTCTATCAACCTAGTTCCTGGAAATAAATCCCTCTATAAACCTGGTTCCTGAAGTAAATCCCTCTATCAACCTAGTTCCTGGAAATATATCCCTCTATAAACCTGGTTCCTGAAGTAAATCTCTCTATCAACCTGGTCCTTGGAAGTAAATCCTTATCTTAACCTGGTCCCTGGAAGTAAATCCTTATCTTAACCTGGTTCCTGGAAGTGAACCCCACGAAGCGTGGTTACTGGAAGTGACCCCCTAAAAGCGTGGTTCCTGAAAGTGAAACTCAAGAGCGAGGTTCAAAGAAGCCGACCACATAGATATATATATGTTTCAGGAACCTATATATATATGGGTTCCTGAAAGTGAGCTCCTAGAGCGTTGTTCCTGGAAATTTTAACCCTTAACATGGGTGGTTCCTGGGGTTCATGAGCTATGATCAGACATAAACAAAAAAAGAGATTATTACTTTATATTCATAGATAGATCTTAAACAAAAAAGCTGTAAACTCCCAAAAACAAACAAAAAATCATATTAAAATCTGACAACTCGTAATTTGTGTTAAAAACTATGATTTCCTAAAAATTACCTCTAAATAAAATTGTATTGAAGAGAGAACATGAGTCATGACGCTTCATCAACAATATTTCATCATCTCGCGTCACAACTCGCTCTATGAACATGAACCGGCGCAAAACAAGCCACGTGCGTCTTGATAAAAATTTTTAAAATTTTCTTCAAATTTTATCTCCTTTAAAATTTTCCTGTTTTTCGTGATTTTGGTGAAAACTTTTTTCTCTTTTCCTCACTATGATATTCAGACAACTCTGAAGGTAATCATCAAATTTTTAAACTCCACAACTTTAAAGTGTTGCATTTACCTCCTTTTGTCTCCTCCTCTTATCTCCTACTTTTGTCTACTCCTCTTCTATCCTACTTTTGTCTCCTCCTCTTGTCTCCTCCTCTTATCTCCTCCTCTTGTCTCCTCCTCTTGTCTTCTCTTCTTGTCTCCTCCTCTTGTCTCCTCCTCTTGTCTCCTCCTCTTGTCTCCTCCTCTTCTTCTTGTCTCCTTTTCTTGTCTTCTCCTCTTGTCTTCTCTTCTTGTCTCCTCTCTTCTTGTCTCCTTTTCTTGTCTCCTCCTCTTGTCTACTTCTCTTGTCTTCTCTTCTTGTCTCCTCCTCTTCTCTCCTACTTTTGTCTCCTCCTCTTGTGTCTTCAATTCAGACCAAGTCGACTTTGAAGTGTCGCCAGACCTTTGGTTTTATATTTACCAACCCACTCATAATCTTCGGTTGAATGGCTCTGCAGATTTCCTTGTTAAAAGATTCAGTTTTAATGTTGTATTTATAAAATCCTGATCAAATTTTGCACCAGCTTGTTAATACTTTAAAATTAACCATAAAGGATATAGACCACATTTTGAAAATTTGACAAAACGTTAAAACATTTTGTTACATTAACGGACATTATGAACTGTCGGAAATCAAAGACAAGGTAATAGTTTCAATTTCGTATCATTTTTAACAATTTTTATCTTTTTTATTTTAAAAAGGTTTTTATAAGTTATAGTTACAAAATTGTACTGTTATTGTACTGTTATTTAAATTTTCCCCCCTTTGGGATTCTTTGGGCCCTGGGACCCTCCCCCGGGAGTGGGGGTGGAAGAGGGATCCCAGGACCCAGAAAACCCCGAGCAGGAAACAACACCCAAACATTTATTTTTGATATTTTCAAAATTATTGGTATTAGAAATCGTCTGTATCGTATCTAAATTTCATGATTATTAGGACATCCTGTACAGCACATCGGACATACCAGGCATTGTTTGTTGGGACACCCTGTACAGTACACCGGACATACCAGGTATAGTTTGTTGGGACACCCATCAATTATATCCATTTATTTATTATTATTTAGGGTTAGGTTAGGTTAAGACAATTTCTGGGACGAGCGCTGCGGCTAGGACAGGCTAAGGGGCCGAGCGCTGCGGCCACATGGTCAATTATATGGCCAACCCGACCATTATGGAAGCCAGAATCAGACTAAAGTTTTAAATCTAAAGTTTGGCGGATTTTTGTGATTAAAATTGCGAGTTTCCTATGATTCAAATCAAAAAAAATATTTTTATCATTTTGACCTTTTGTCGTTTGACCCTTTGTCGCACTTTTGACCCTTTGTCGTTTGACCCTTTGTCGTTTGACCCTTTGTCGTTTGACCCTGTGTCGTTTGACCCTGTGTCGTTTGACCCTGTGTCGTTTGTCCCTTTGTCGTTTGACCCTGGGTCGTTTGACCCTTTGTCGGTGAATCCTATTTTCTATCTATTGATCTCTATTTTCTATCTATTCATCTCTATTTTCCGTCTATTCATCTCTATTTTCTATCTGCTTATCTTCATTTGCTATAATCTATTCATCTCTATTTTTTATCTACTTTCTATCTATTCATCTCTATATCCTATCTACTTCTCTTTATTTTTCTTTCTTTTCATTTCATTTTCTATCTGTTCATCTCTATTTTCTATCTATTCATCTCTATTTTCTATCTATTCATATCTATTTTCTTTCTGCTTATCTTCATTCGCTATCTATTCATCTCTATTTTTTATCTACTTTCTATCTATTCATCTCTATTTCCTTTCTATTTCTCTTTATTTTTCTATCTTTTAATTTCATTTTCTATCTGTTCATCTCAATTTTCTATCTATTCATCTAAATTTTCTCTCTGTTCATCTCTATTTTTCATAAATTCATCTCAGTTTTCTTTCTCTTTTTATCTATTTTCTATTTGTCCATATTTTTTTTCTATTTAATTTATCTTGATTTTGCTAACATTAAACTTTGTTTGCATTTTTTAGTTTTAAATAGAGGTGCTCTAGCTGATCATTCTAAAAGATGTTTTTTGGTGATATCATTTGATGTAGGTCTTGAACATTGCACTTTTCTGTTTTCAGATTTGGTTTCATCATGAACATGTTTTAGATCTGTCTGAAATCTGAATCATGTTTGAACCTGGTTTTACTATTGCACCATTTTAGTGCTTGAATCTGCCTGACGGACACTATATAGACGCATTGTACGCTTGTGTTAAAAACCAAGCATGCGCATTGCTTTGCAAACGTTTTAACATCGCAATTTTTGCAATACAATTTTGTTCTAAAAAAACAACTGAATAACTGTGAACCCCCAGTTTGAAGTGTTCCAGCTGGTTCTACATGGTACGAAACTATGCTGGGGTAAACCGAGGACATATTCTCTAAAGAAAATATCATAACGTTGTGGCTTACTAGAGGGTATATAAACCCGGTATGATGAAATCTCAGTGTTAGTGTAACACTTTCAGTCGTTCAAGCAACCCACACGTTGAACGCGCGAAATACAAATCTAGAAAACGTTTTGAAAAATTAAATAAATAGGTATGTGAAACTAATCAATACTGTTTATTTTAATCATTTAAAAATGGTTTAAATTTACATTATGAAAGATTTTTTTAAAATTAAAACCTCACTTTTTCTGCACCTATATTAAAATCTTCATCACTAACTTTTTTTGCTGAGAAATTATATACAAAAGTTTTGCAGATCAGTTCATGGTCAATTAAAAAGAAAAAATATTTTTCAGTGGTAGGCAATTTTTTCAACACAATGAAGACGACTTTCGATGAATACACAAACATAGAAGTCAAGAGAAGCTGTAAATTAAAAGAACTTCTCTTTGATTACTTTCAAACTTTTATTTCGAAAATAGGTGGTTAGCTGGTTAGTTGGTTAGCTGGTTAGCTGGTTAGCTGGTTAGCTGGTTAGCAAACACAAACTTAAATAATACAGTTGTCTTCATTGTTTTCATAAAGTTGTCGATCACTTAATTAAAAAAGAAAGATAACAATAATTTTTTTTGTTGCTTTTCATAATTCCTTATTTTAGCTATTTTTGAATTTTCTCTTTTGTCCCTATTAAAGTGGAATGTTGATCCGATGTTTATTGAAACCAACAAAAATGGAATTCACTTAATAATTCTTATCATATTCCTAAAAGTTAAAGACGACCTATATTCGCGGTAAACTTTTAAAAATTCTGCCTGGCTTCACAGGACAGAAACTCTACGGGGCATTTACACCAGACTGTTTGCGCATCGGAAAATGTGTCACGATCTCGAGAATTTTTTGTGATGTTTTGAAAATTTCCCTACAGAAAGCGCTTTAATTTTGAAAATTTACATGATTTTGCAAGTGAAATTTAAAGAGCTACGTTTTTTGCCATTTTGGATCATATTTAGACCACATAGCTTTACTTTAGGCCGTATCTAAACAATTCCGTTATTGACCGGAAGTATTAGAAAGTTTACGAAAGCTTTTTTTTCCTTCAACATTTTTGTATGCGGTTTTTCAGTGAAGAAGATTTTTGGACCCCTCCTCCTTTTGATCTGAAATATTAAAAATTAAAGTAGGGATTCTGTAAGGGGTGTGGTAGCTGTGCCCCCCCCCCTCAGCATTTCTTAGACACTAGACGGTAACTGAATTTTTTGTACTTGGTGTATTTTATGTTACAATAACTTGATAACTAAGCCATACTCCAATTTTAGTAAGAAAGGGGGGCAAAAATCGTTCTCTAGGACAGACCCTCCCTGTGTATTAAACTGATAGTTGTATCCCTCCAATAATTAAAGATTGCAATGTGTTTACTTGCCACTGTGTCACCATTATTTATAAATCTGCTCTGTTAATGATTTATTTCTGCTAGAAATGACTGTTCTGAATTAAACATATATCTATAAAAACTTTTCAGAAAATTCTATTTCAAAATGTAAGTTGTACACTAACTTTGCACAATGTCTGTGCGAATCAAGTGCGAGGAGGTGTTGCTAGTCGACCCCAAGGCGGAGGTTGTCGACTTCGACGAGGAGAACACTGGTGTCGACGTCCCGACCGAGTTTATCGAGTTCCCGGATACTATTGAAGTTAGTGGAGAAGTGGAAGAAAAGGAAGATGTTATTTTAGGTAAAAACTAGTTTGAAGTCCCTATACGTTACAAGGCAAAAAATTGGGTCTGTCCTAGTGAAAGATTGACCCCCCCCCCCCCCTCTCCTATCAATTTTGTACATGACGAACTTAGTAAATTAGTATTTTTTTATTATTATTTAGGGTTAGGTTAGGTTAAGACACTTTCTGGGCCGAGCGCTGCGGCTAGGATGGGCGAGGGGGCCTAGCGCTGCGGCCACGGGTTAAGTTAGTTAAGACATTTATGTGCCGAGCGCTGCGGCCACATGGTTAATTATATCCATGTCTAACATATAAGATCCATGTACAAAATTGATAGGAGGGGGGACGGGGGGTCCAAAAATCGTTCTCTAGGAATACACCAAGAAATTATCGAACATTTTTATTTGATTCGTTAGACACTTTTATTTTTCTATTTCTCAAAAAAATATTTCCCCTTTTGTTCGTATAATCCTAAGTATATCTCAAATTACCACCTCGAGAAAGGACTTTAAGCTTCAGAGAATAATTTTTACGATAAAGTTTTAAGTCTTTACCAACGATTTCTTGGTTGCATACCTTAGTCAATGACCTTGTAACAATGACTAGATATTCAATTTATCTGCGTTATTCAGAAGAACTGAGAATGACCCTCTTCTGGGGGGAGGGTGGTTATGAACAAGCTTTTCGCCCCTAGTGTACTCTGAAAGAAATTTTCTCCATTTCAATAATCTAAACACTCCAAATAATATTGTGCACCGCGTAAATATTTCTAATATAGGACAAAATATTTTTTGGACATTACTTTTAGACCATTTAACACAATTTTTTTGTATTAGATAAGCTACCTCGGCCAGTAAGCGCGTTGAATTGCCGTCAGGCCCGATCCTACCTAGTCAAACTACTCAGAATTTCAAACGGAGGTCAAAATCCCCAGTATGGTAATCCAGCCTCTAAACCTCCGTTCTGGCCGGACTTCTACTGGCCCTGGGAGAGGCTGACGGATGTACACACAAAGCCGAGGGGGATGGAGGAGCCGCTGCTCTACTCAGAGATGATGAAACTAGCGATAGAACGAGGTTATAAGGTATAAAAATATTCATTAAAGAGACTGTAAGCGTAACTTTAATTGACTCTCCATGCAACATGCAATGCCTGTTACACTTAAAAGTTTTGTCTGAGAAAGTATTGATTACATATAATATATATGCATTCACAGAAATTAACACGCTTCTAATCAGATAAACGACGAAACGACGTGATTTAATATCTTCCATTTTATTGACACCAAAAACAATGATTATACCTTTTCCCCTTGAGAAAGGATAGGGAAGGGGGGGGGGCGAAGGTACGTGTAGTTAGTTAAAATGATTATTATTTTCTGAAAATATTTGGACACATTTCATTAATTAACACAAATGTAAATATATGGAAACATTCATTTATCAAATAGTGAAGGTTCAAGAAAAACATAATTTAGATACTTGAATTGAATTTTATATAAAAACCTCAACTGTTAAAAACTAAAAATGTTCTCCAACGCCTAATTCTAATTTTTTAGTTTAACGAATGCTAAATGGTTTGATAAAGTTCAAACTTAGTTTTAAGAATTAAAAGTTTTTTATTGATATTTTGCCCCTTGGATTCGGATCCGTGGATCTGCATATTTCTGTGGATTTGGATCCAGTGCTGGGAACTTTAGAATGGATAACCTTTAATCCCAACTACTTAATCCGAATATCCACTGTGGAAACTTTTAATTTTAGTCCTAAATTCATCTTTTTCTCTCTCTTTGAATATCCGTACATTATTTCTCCAATGAGAGTGCAGGAACATAGTTCGTAAATTGTATTGGCCAATGACAGCCTTGAAAATAAATTCTATCCCATGAGAGAAATCCGCAATTTCTAACAAGTCAAAAATTTGTTTTCGACCATTTTGTAAATTAATCGGTGAAGAAAAATATTTAATAATACGTTTGAGATTCTTTTTCAACCAATTTTAACTAATGTATTAATAAACAAATGGATGAGAAATTGAATGAAGGCCCTTCCAGTCAAGAAAACGAACCAATCTGGCGTTCTTAGAATCCAATTTGTTGGTCTAAATATTTAATCTCAAGATTAGCAAAAAAAGAGGACTAAGCATTAATCATGATATCCACCATTCTAAAGTACCCAGCTCAAGAAGGCAAAATGTTGCTGATCCGGATCCTAAGCACTGGAAAAACAACAGTGGAAAATAATCAAATCTAATCTACGTTCAAAGTCCCTTTGGAGTTAACTATTAAGACTTTTAAGACTATTAAGAGTATTATTCAGTATTACGGATATGATCCTGAAACCTACTGGGATAGGAAGGTGGAGGAGAGTGAACCTATTTGCATATAGTTGAATAAGTTGACCTGTAGGCTAGAACTGTTCTATCTAAACTCCTGAGATATCAGCAAGCTGGGAATAATCCTGTGTACGGGCATCCAGAAACTAAACCACCTTGGTGGCCGGACGATTGCATCAGGTAGGATCAGGGACGATTGCATCAGGTAGGATTAGGGACGATTGCATCAGGTAGGATTAGGGACGATTGCATCAGGTAGGATTAGGGACGATTGCATCAGGTAGGATCAGTGACGATTGTTTCAGGTAGGATCAATGACTATTATATCAGGTAAGATCAAGGATGATTGCATCAGGTAGGATCAGGGACGATTTCATCAGGTAGGATCAGGGACGATTGCATCAGGAAGGATAAGGACGATTATTTCAGGTAGGATCAGGGATGATTGCATCAGGTAGGATCAGGGACGATTGCATCAGGAAGGATCAGGGACTATTATATCAGGTAGGATCAGGGACGATTGCATCAGGAAGGATCAAGGACTATTATATCAGGTAGGATCAAGGACGATTGCATCAGGAAGGATCAAGGACGATTGTATCAGGTAGAATCAGGGACGATTGCATCAGGTAAGATCAGGGACGATTGTATCAGGTAGAATCAGGGACGATTGCATCGGTAGGATCCGGGACGATTGCATCAGGTAGTATCAGGAACGATTGCATCAGGTAGGATCGCATCAGGTAGGATCAGGGACGATTGCATCAGGAAGGATCAGGGACGATTGTATCAGGTAGGATCAGGGACGATTGCATCAGGTAGAATCAGGGACAACTGTATCAGATAGGATCAGGGACAACTGTATCAGGTAGGATCAGGGACAACTGTATCAGGTAGGATCAGGGACGATTACATCAGGAAGGATCAGGGACAACTGTATCAGGTAGGATCAGGGACGATTGCATCAGAAAGGATCAGGGACTATTATATCAGGTAGGATCAGGGACGATTGCATCAGGAAGGATCAGAGACAACTGTATCAGGTAGGATCAGGGACGATTATATCAGGTAGGATCAGGGACGATTATATCAGGTAGGATCAGGGACGATTATATCAGGTAGGATCAGGGACGATTATTTCAGGTAATATCAAGGACGATCGTAAATGATTGATCACTATCATTAATTACATGACGGAGTTGGACTTAAACCAACAAAAAAATACACCCATTAATAAACTGCTTAACAAATCTTTGATTTATTAAGTAAAGTCACTGGGTTTGGGGAGTGGCAAGAGAGCATTCTAAGAAAGATTCTGATTTGATTTGTTACCCTAAGTATAATTATTTTGTTTAGATGGATAGATATGGTCGACCTGCGAGGGAAACCACCCTACCTTCCTAAAAACATGTCCTATACAGATGTTCTCAAATACGCAATTGAAAAGGGAGGATACATCTTCTTCCCATTTTCTGATATCAGTCCAATTCTTTTAGAAAATCAGATTTAGAAATTTAAATTTTAAGATTTTAGAGACTCCTGAAAGCCAAAAGATTCAAAATGTGTATTAACGGGAAAAAAATAAACCTGAACTCCACTTCGTCTCAATTAATCAACCCTTCTTTACCAATTTGATTCATATTTTTGACCCCCCCTCCCCCCCTATAAATTCTGAATGATATCCTTGTCTCCAGGGTTTAGAATATTTCGGCTACGACTCTGAAACCTGGGTAGACGCCAGCACCTTTAATAGAGAGCAGAATGTTTCCTTAATCTCCAAACTAAACAAAACAAATTCACAAAATGTTAGGTAAACATATTTATTTAAATATACATAATCAGCTTTTTCCATCAAATCTCAATATAAAAGTCAGGTGGTTTTAATTTCTCACGCCCTTCTTCTGAAAAAATTATTTCCCATAGAACTTTTGAGTTTGCGCGGAGCCTCCATATGTAAAATGTGGAGTGTCTCAGCATTAGAAAAAGAATTCCATTGTATTCTGAAAAATGATAAGTTTAAAATTACTTGCAAACATGGGAAATAAACACACCCGTCAGTTAATTTTGGTGGTCGTTGGGAGAGTGAGCTCTTCAGGGGTCTCCAGGGAAGAAGTCACCTCGGTGCCGCGCTCCTACTCGTCTGCAGCGCTCTCTCCGTCCACGCCCGTACCAGGCGCGTTTTAAAGTTCAAAAGGGAATATGCCTGACAATTTTAGATGAAGCTTATGTATCTAAATTGCTGTACTAAGAGAAACGAATTNCTTAAAAATAAACACCCCTGCTTAAAGTTTACGTACAGGTGGCGGATTGCATCTTTTTCTTGACAGATAAAGTAATTTACTAAATTTATCAAAGTAGTGTTCGTACTAATTCAACCACATCTCACTTACTAGTTTGAATCAGTTACCTGCGGTGTTATCAATTTTCTCGATCCGTTGGATCCGCAAGATGGTGGCTTCCTGAATCCGGATCCGTAAAAATATTCGGATTTAAAAAATCAAACAAAAACTGCAACAAAAAAAATTACTCTAAAACCCAAATCTGAACTATTGAAAAAAGAAAGATATATAAATTTCCTGCTTTCTGAATGGTTCATCAAGTTATGCAAAAAATTACCGAAACAAATAAGACAAAAATTTGAAATTTTGATTTGTTAAAAAAAAAATCTTGAAGAAATTACCTGGATCCGGATCCATTTTTTTCAGTGCGTATCAAGGATCCGGATCCGAATCCGCATCAAAATTAAATGGATCCCAAGCAATGCTTTGAAATGATATTTTTTCGCTCTTATAAATGATTAATTCTGAATGTTTAGTTTTGACGAGATACCTAAACTACCTATTCCAATTAACAAGATGAATTGTAGTATAGCCAGAACTTCTTTAGCGAGATTACTCAGGTGCGTTGATCTAAATGTTTTATGTACTAATTAATGTTTTAAACTTTGTGATGTAATGTTTACCAGCAATGAGACTTCAGAGACGATTGTACGGAACTTTAACCGTCTGTTTCCTTATTTTTATAAATTGTTTCTTTCTTTGTCCAATCGTTAAAAATGCCAGGGGAAAAAACTAGAATTTAAGGCAAAAATCTTATCTTAACCTTGGAATCGTCATATTTAAAGACAGGTTGTTTTTACAGTCTCATCACTCATCAGGTTTGTGGGTAACCCTGTAAATGTAGCAAACTGCTAAGTGAAGTAATCAATTAATCATCTTTCTTTGAATCTTAATCCTTTTATAACCCAAGCTGGGAACTTTAGAATGAATTGGATACCTTAAAGGCGTAAATCCAGATTCTTTAATCTGGATATCCAATGTGGACACTTAAAATTTCCCATGCTTATTCCACTCTTTATCTCTCCGTGCCAGATTCCGACCAATGAGAGCTCACTCATTAAATGGCGCGCAAAATTTCAAATTTTTCCGGCTTCTCTGATAAGCTGTTTCGGTTTCTCCTAACGCCACTCAATTGGTTGAGTTCTATGCACTTTTCTGGATACATACTAATACTTAAGAGATTAAATTAATCTGAGATTAACAAAAAGAGAAAATCAAACATCGTATCCACAATTATTAAGCTTTCAGCTGGAGTTGATCTTTACAAATAAATCAAAATAATGTAGATTAACTGTACAGATATCACTGTGGTGCGAACCCTAAGTACGGATGTCCCAGTTCTATGCCGGTCTGGTGGCCCAACGAATCCTTCGAGTGGGCCGCATTGAAGAACCTGTCCCACCGATTCGAAGGAACACAACCCAACACAAGATCAGAAAATATTAGTCTTAAAAAATATTTTCTGCAAAAAAATTATTTTAACATTCTTTTTTCTGGTTATAAGTAGGTGATAAAACAAAGCTTTTAATTATACCGCTGTGATTCAGACACATTACTCTTTTAATTAAGCGTCACATGAAATTCAGCTTAAAACTCCAAACCCCCCTCACCCCCCACCTTACATATGACTGGTTTTGTATAATGGGGTTAGTTTGTGTATCTAGGGTTTATGGGAGACAGTTACAGTAACTGTTTGAGATTAGCTCTAGCACATGGTTACGAATATTATAACGTGGATCCTCTCACATACGTCGAGGTAGGAGTTTTAAGCATTTATATTTATTAATTACAGGGTTGTACTGTTTAACTGTAAATTTTCCCAAAATATATTTCCCCCCCCCTCTTTTTAAATTTTTATCCCCAAAAGATAGGTATGTTTGCAAAAATTCAAATAGTTTAGGGTTTTATTGGCGGAATAGGGGATCCTTATTTTAGGTATGAAGTATGATAAAAAGTGAAAAAAATGCCTTTCATTTTCAAAATCATTGCCCCAGGGGAGGGGTAATTTTTAAAATGTACACCCTTGATTTAATATCAAATATACGAGTAAAGGCGGGATCATTTGGCACTAGAATGGTAAAATTACTCAGATCTTTATTGCGGCATCATTTTTTTTCTTATCAAAAAGGAAAATTTATGTTTCCAACTTTTGAACTAAATTGCATATCAACAATGTATTCTAAAAAATCGTTGACATAGTAAATTTAGCTGTTTGATTATTATTAAATTACAAGGCTAACGTTATTTATTGGGCGGAAGTTTGTCAGGATCCAAAAAAAAAATATGTTTTAAACTAAAATCGACAATGTTCAGGGGTTCGAGGTGTATTTAAAAAAAATAACAAAGTTTTGATGATATCGAAAAAAACGTATTTATATTCCCTTATTTTGCAGATTTAATAATAAAACAGGGGTGTATATTTTCTCAAAATTCACCCCCCCTTTTGAATTTTTTTTAGTTTGAGTGTTCTTATTTAATATTTATGACTAGGAGATGGCTGAAAGTTTACCAAATGTTGCAAGTAAACGAATCACCCACTTTGTTGTCAATCCTCAAGTGAACGAGCTGATTCAGAAGTTCGACGGAGCCATCGATTCAAACCTCAACCTCGCCAGTCGACTCACTGAGGAGTCAGAGTCAAGCTTTCTCGACTCTGACGAGCAGAACAGTAGTGACAATGTCGAGATTAAACTAAAGCGACCTCCTCCGCCACTAATACCCCTATCTGCGGTTCTAAATTACTCTCAGAACGGAATATGTCCGATCAATAGTCGAGATTTACTCGTCACGACTGACTCGAAACGTTTAAAAGTGTCGAATGATTCGTGATATTAAGCATTTAGGATATGAATTCAATCTTCAAACTGTAATAATGTAAATTAATGAACTTTTTTGGCACAATCAGTTTCCCCAATGACAAAAGTAACAAAGAAGAGGGACAACCGTTGTTTGTTTATTTTCTATAGATGCAATTAATGAAAGTCATGAATGGTTTTTTACTTTACAGAAAAATTAAGCCTCTAACAGATTTCAAATTCATGAAGAAGTTATGAATAATATTTAATTTAAATCCAGTTTTGCAGCATTTTTGTCTTGACTTAAATTTTCGGAAATAATACCATTAGCACATTTATGTATTTATATATGCCAAGTCATTTAAAGTATGTATTTAAGTACAGTCGACTGTATAAGATAATTTGCATTTTTCACAAAACTTAGGGATTTCGAGGTTGTACATTTGTGTTTATTGTTTAAAAAAACCCTTAACGTTTTGTTTTGTAACTCGAGTTTAACGAGGCATTTAGAAATTTGAAACATTTCGTTTAAAATTTTGAACAGAAGGTTTAAAATGTCAAACGAAAGGTTAAAAATTTATAACAAAATGTTTAAATTTCGAACTAAAGGTTCAAAATTTCGAACTAAATGTTCATATTTTAAAACAAAAATATCCTAATTTTCAAATTTTCAAATGCTGTCTAAAGTTCGATGTTACAAACAAAGTTTTATGGTTTCTTCGATTATTTAAGAAAGTGTATTGGCTCAAAAACTGGAATTGTACTGCTCTGGTTTATGCATACAGATGATGTATACAGTAGTAACCAGAGAACTGTGGAATAGGAAGACGACTGTTAAATTCAATTTATGACTTTAAATAATCCAAAGAACATGAGACATCGCAATTGTGCAGTTTAAACAGACCCATTTCACTGGAGAAGTGATTTAAATGTTACAAGTAAAACTGTTTGCTTTGCATCAACATCAACAACACTTAATTATTGCATTACTATCGTCTTCCTATTCTACAGTTTTCTGGTTCTTCCGGGATGCACATTGTACAAAGAATCTAGGAAATTACTTCTATAGTTTTTTATGGAAGGAGATGTAAACATAGAATGATATGAAAAATATTATTGTTAACATCTCCTTTCTTTGCATTTATGCAGTACATTAAACGACGGTCGGTTCCATTTAGTTCTTTGGTAACATACAATTTCAGCAGCATTGCAATGTAGAATATTTTAAGTAATATTTTATTTTTATTTACTTTACTGTCTGTATTCACATTCCATTATCATGTAACAAACTGTTATGTACACATTACACAATGCATTTTTACTGTTTATTCTGAACTTGTTCACAGATGATCATAATTAAATTCCTTTTTTACATTTTTTGTAAATTAAAATTTTCCCTCAAATCTGAAAATCTTCGCAAAATAGTTCCTTGAGTTTCTTCCAGTTGTTTTTTATGCACCAAGGGCAATTTTTGTTGCGATTTTTACCTAATGCGCCATTCTCCTCATGTCAAATAACAGATACATAATGTTGTTATTTTGCAATGCTCTTCTGGAATAACATTATTAATGTTTAATAGAAAAAATAGCTTGCGTACCTTCTTTTTCTCTCTGATCCAGTCTAATTCTAATTTGGTTGTACACAAGTTACAAAACATATCAAATTTGAAAAAGCGAGTTTTTTTGTTGCAAAATTTTCACTCCTATCTCAAAAAAGGAACCATCTTCTGTAGTAAATCTACACTGTGTACAAAAAAAATCTTTTACAACTCCGTCTCAGTTGAGAGTATCCAGTTTATAATCAACAATTGAAGAACGATTATGATTACTACTAGTTGCATAAAGTTTAATTTTATATATTTGTGTTTCAGATTCTTATTAAGTGTGAGGTTTACAGGATTTTAATATATTCATCAGGTAATTGTTTTCTTACAATGATTTTAAAACGTTTATTACTTATCACTGGTTTCCATCGAACTTAATTATTATTTATAATATTATAAACATGCATTTAACTCGTAAATTTGAGGCAATTGGCATTAACACTTCGCAGCGCAAGAAAAAAAAAGCACTTAAATAAGGGATGTTCTCAATTTCTAAAGTCTAAAAGCATAAAAAGTATGTTTTTTTTTCAAAACAAGAATGTATAAATATTGCAAAAACCTTATACATTGTTTAATTTATATTTCAAGTTTTAATCTTTGTTCTGTGTCTGTTTGTTTAATTGTCCGATCATAACTCAGGAAACCCTTAGACCGATTTGCCAGTTTTAGGAATGTTCTAGCTTGGTTTCAAAATTCAAAGTAAAGTGGGTTGAGTTTTGTAGGAAAAGTTAAGTTTGCAGTCAAAGCTGGATTCCTAAGGTAGTGAACAATATAAATAATATGAAAATAGCTTCGCCTGGAATATTACCTTTATCTGTAATTATCGTCCCACTCAACTTGGGATTTAAAGCTAAAAACATTCCTCTGGTTCTACCGAGTAATCCGATCTAAATTTTAGGAAAATCGGTCCATGGGGTTTATGAGGTATGATCGAACATACAGACAGAGATTACTACTCAACAGATATGAGAATTGAAAGGATATAATTTATCATCTAGGTATGCAGTATGAGCCTAGCTCCCCCTCCGTCTGCTGCCAGTAATTCACTAGTTGCAGAAGCACTAGCTAGGGCACAGGTATTCCGCCAATCAGTGCATAGGATCCGGATCCGTTGAATCAACATCATTTTGGTTTCGAGGATCCGGATCTGAAAAAATATGCCGGTCCATGGATCCGGATCCAGGGTACAAATAATTAAAACATCTTTTTGCTCTTAAAACAGAAATCTCCACCGTTAAAAATGAGATGTTAGGTTCTTTCCCAAAGGCCTTTTCCCAAGCGGCAACTTCCCAAATGTCCAATTTTCCAAGTCTGTACTAGCCTCAGAGCATGGCTCCTTAGACCATCCTAGCCGCAGCGCTGGGCTCCAATGTAGCCTGTGGCACCTCAGAATGTCTAACCTAACCTTTGAGAAGTTGCCGCTAGGGAAATTGTCACTTGCAGTCTCCTTTGGGAAATGGCCTTTGGAAAATAAGATCTATAAAATAACCTTATTCCTGAAAGTAGGGGGAAAATTTTGAGAATTCTTCATTTTTAAAAAAAATTAGGAAATCTTAAAAGTATGTTCATGGTCTGGATTCGGATCCATTTTCAAAAGGCGGATTCAGGATCTAGAAAAGAGTTCATAAGTTGGTTGAAATAAATCCGAATATTAGTTCACTTAACAGATAAGACTATAAAGACGACCTGAATCTCTTTAAATTAATGTAAAGTTAAGTCTTCCGTCTTAAGTACAGTCTCTTAATGGCTTAATTAATGCTTTGTCCCAGAAAGAAACAAGTTTACAGTGGCATGGAACCAGGAATATAAGAAAACAGACAGTACAAATTCTTTACAATCGTCTGATACGTTGTGGGTAACCCTGTAGTTCATATAAATGTTTGTCCAGGCTCTCGCTAAAACCGGATTGAAAAGACCAGGAGACTATATTCAAGAACCAGAACCCAAGAAACCAGGGAATATGATGCAACCAGGAGTTGGAGCTGACCAGCTCACTGTCACAGAGGAGGTAATACAGGCTTTTATTCAAACTTAAAGAGAGTGTTCGCGAAAAAAAAAGTAGGTATAGGCTAATAACTCTACCAATTTTACTTCTATCTGTTGCGTCATAAGTAAAGTGAGAAGCGATGATATCGAAATCTATTCGGCGTCAACCTATACCCCCTTTCATTTTTCGCGAACACTCCCTTTAAAGGGACTGTAAGCGTAATTTCAAGTGACCTTCCACACAAAGATGGTAACGTTCTATTTACAACAGAACCCAAGTGCTTAGGATCCGGATCCAAGGGGTAAAATATCAACCAAAAACTGAAAAGAAATGTTTACTCCTTAACCCCAAATCTTATTTTTTTTTTTAAAGAGAGATTATTAAAATTTCCTCATTTCTGAATGGTTCATCAAGTTTTAGGATAAAAATAAGCGAAAAAAATAAAACAAAAAATTTGAAAACTATTTTTTGTTAAAAAAATTCAGTAAATCTTAAAGAAATGAACTGGATCCGGATCCATTTTTTTCAGTGCGGATCCAGGATCCGGATCCGGATCCGCATCAAAATTGAATGGATCCTAAGCACTAAATACCCTTAAAACCTTTGTTATCAATTATGCGTAAGATATTGTCTTTTTTCTAGTGTTAAAATTTTTAATTCTGTTAATTGCGTAACTCACTTTAGTAGAGAACCTACAATTTTAATTCTTTTTGGTCAGATCAAATTGACAATTGTTCCAGAAAAAAGCGTGTCTCTTATCATTTCATCAACATTATGTGATATGTAGTTTATTCTTGTCACGTGACGTGTCCCTTTAAATGATAGTTACAATGTGTAATGTTTAGATTTTCTCTTATCACTTGACTTATCCCTTTAAATGATAGTTACAATGTGTAATGTTTAGATTTTCTCTTATCACTTGACTTATCCCTTTAAATGATAGTTACAATGTGTAATGTTTAGATTTTCTCTTATCACTTGACTTATCCCTTTAAATGATAGTTACAATGTGTAATGTTTAGATTTTCTCTTATCACTTGACTTATCCCTTTAAATGATAGTTACAATGTGTAATGTTTAGATTTATGTACCTGACAATATGGTTGGATTATTGATCGGTAGAGGAGGCGAGAATATTACAAGGTATTCATTAATATTATTAATTATTATTAATTATTATTATCATTTCCATTAAAGAACCCACCCCCTTACCAAAAGAAAAAATACGTTTGAAATATTTTGCCTCGAAACTGATTGGTTAAAGGAAATCGAGATTATTATTAACAAAATGACAGCTATTTACTTCCTCATCATATTTATTTGTTGATCCGATACTCTTTTTACGATTTTCGAAAACCTTTTTTTTAGATTGCCTGTAACTGGGTAATGTAATTTGAAGTTCAATTAAAGATACCCAGAAAGATTCACTACTGCATGATTGTACCCGTTCTTGAACAGAATTTAGTCAAAGATAAGATAAGGGATTATCTGAAATCCCCCCCCCCCTTTTATCTTCACCGAAAATCGACAATCTTTCTTCTTGTGAAATACTTCTCTCAGTCATTATTTATTTATTTATTTGTTATTTAAACAAAGTTGTTGGGGATATTTTGGTCCCCAGACAACTCCCACCCTTCAGCCTATTCAGTAACTTGTACGTTTCGTGTACAACCACGCCTAAGGACGTGCGTTGAATGTTATATTATTGAACCCTGGATATAAGCGACCCGAGACATAACCTAAAGATTTTGAGCCCGCGTCTCAAGAGGCTCAACACTGAAATTGTTTTCAGTGTTCCTAGATTTGAACCGGCGCTCAATGGGAACCGGTTTATGGCGGTTCACCTTCGCGGTTTAAATTCTTTAAATTTGGCCTTGGGTGTAGGGATTCCGGTAACCTGAGTTAACCGTATCCCCAGGTTGATATCCTCCAACCCTTTCATCCCCTGGTCAATTACCAGTGGTCATTTGATGGACCCATAGGCATAAGGCTATACATAATAGGGTGGTGTCTTGTTTTATCTTTTATTAAAGTAAACTGAATGTTTTTGTTAAGAATGCAGCAGGAGTCTGCCTGCAAAATTCAGATGTCCCAGGAAAACCAGGGTTCTCCTACCAGGTATTTATTAATTGAATAGACATTTTTAGCTGTTTTACCAGAAGTTTTGTTGAGAATTAAATTTGTAATAGCAATCAAGTCAAAAATGAATATTTTAATTGTTTTTTTGTATTTTTTAAAGAAAACCCTCTCTTTCATGTGCTCTATTGGTGCAGTACATGTAGGAAACATTTGCTTGTAATGAGTGAAATCAGATCGACTATAATCCATGCAAATATGTTCAATATGACACTGATTGTGGACTTAACTTAAATAAATACTAAAAACATACGAAAGAAACAGCCTACCATTGATTCGATTTGTAGTTATGTAAAGGAATTGAGTTATTGTAACAAACTCTGATTTTCTAATACCTATATTTTTCCCACCTGATAGTGAAAACCTTTGATATTTCAAACTTAGATTCTTTCATCTAACAGAATTCATAGTTTGAAATATCTAAGGTCTACGGCATTTGGTTGCAAAGATATAGAGATTAGAAAATTATAGTTTGTGACAAAGACTCAATTCCTTTGTTTAGATTATGTACACTGACCGGTTCACCCGACGCAATTAATGCGGCGAAAGCCCAGATTAATGCTGTCATCGCTAACGATGGGCGTGGAAACCGTGGTATGGGCGGAGGTGGAGGCGGAGGAGGTATGGGAGGAGGCGGAGGAATGGGCGGAGGATTTGAGATGATGCTAGAGGGTCCTCTGGTCGCCAGGGTTATTGGTAAAGGCGGAGAGAATATTAAACGGCTTCAAGAGGAGACTGGAGCAAAAATTGTCATTATTCAGGTTAAGTGTTCTTAAGATATTTTGATTAGAATTTGTCTTTAAGATATTAAAAAAGGTTAAAATTTAATATTTCTCGCGCCATCAACTATTATCATATTTTTCAGAAAGCCTAAATCAAGTGAACCTACACTCTACAGGCTAAGATGGCAATAGCCGATTTACATGTTTTTTTCTTTTTTAAAAGTGATACATTTCTTGCTTTTAAGAAACGATCGATAAATTAACATTTTTCGGCGAAAAAACGACCTTATCTCCATTGTAATTCGGACATTGTTGTTTTTGCATTAAGGGGTAAATTACGGGGGGGGGGGGGATTGAGGGTCCAAAATCGGAATCTTTTTCAGATTGATTATTCTCTTAACTGACGGACCATATTTTAGGACTCTAAAGATTTTGCTGACCAGAAACCTCTGCGTATCTCTGGACCCCCAGACAAGGTCGAGTACGCCAAGCAGCGCGTCATGCAGGTCATCCAGGAGGAGAGGGAGAAGCTAGGAGGGATGGGAGGCGGCAGGTAATTATCCCCCCCCCATGGTACCGTGGCCGGTCAAATTGAAGAAAAAAATCTGAATTTTTTAATATGACATTCTTTTACCAACCATTTTTCAACGAAATTGGAAATTTCAACTATCTCAGAATTGTCATAGGAAAAAAAACGCATTTTTCTTTCGAGGTGCCATGGTCAATATTTATGAAACATTCTTAAAAAATCCAAAAGTTTTATTAAGCATATATAAAATTTTATTTAAATTAAAAATTTCAAGTCAAAAAACTTAATAAAAAATTTCAAGTCAAAAAATTAATTTTTAAAGAAGTTGGGCTCTTTAGAAGATTAAAAATTGAAAAATATTCATGTATTTTTGCAATAATATCTTCTTATTTTTTTCCGATAAATAAAAATAATCTCAGAAGCGGCTAATATGGGCTAGGGCAATACTAAACCATGTAAGATTTATCTAGAGGATATTTCCTTTAAATCGGCATATGCCACTAGTCTGCCCTATAAAGTATAAACAGAACAAAAATTAGTATTATACGAAATTGCGATAAAAAGTAGAGCAAAAATTTTCCCCTAAAAAATCAAGTTAAAAAAAAATTAATAAAAAATGTTTAATACAAATTTTATTTTTGCAATTTTGCAGATATGAAATTTAAAAACCAAAAAGGTTTAGTCTCTACAAAATTACGAAATTGCGAGAAAAATGTAGGATTTTGATAAACAAATTTGGGTCATAAACATTTTAACTCTCTGATCTGGATCCAAGTGTCAAAATATCAACCAAAACATAAACTAAATCATCGGGGGGGGGGGGGGGGGGGGGGGGGGGGGGGGGATAGTTCTTGCTGTTAAAACATACAATTTAAGTGTCAATGATTTATTTGAAAGATCATAAACCCATATCATTGAATCGTATATCAAAGTTGTTTTTGTTTCACATCAGCTAGCGAAGAAAAACGAAACTCATATTTTGGAAATTAGTTTTTAGCAAAACTCCTTAGAAATAAACTTGATGTGCATTGTGCATCAATAAAATGGAACCTAATTTCACTGCTTTAAAATATAATTGTAGACTTTTTGACAAAGGGCCAGGAATTCCCTTAAAATTGAGGCAGAGTTCTGAGCTAATTTTTTTAAAAACCTTGGAACCGATATTTAATATGTTTTTTTTAGGGGCGGGTTTAGAGGTGGGCGTGGCGGTGGTCCTGGTGGATTCCGTGGAGGGCGTGGTGGACCCGGAGGTGGACGAGGAGGCGGAGCCGGATGGCCCAGTGGAGGTGGCGGAGGCGGTCCAGGCGGATACGGAGAAATTCAGGAACATTTCTCAGTTCCTTCAAACAAGGTAATTAGTTTTTCCTAGGTTTAGGTTGCAGATGGCATAGCAAAGCGTTAAACGCAAATCGTAGCAAGCGTTAAACTTAAGAATTTCATATTTCCTGATTTCTACACAATGTATCATTTACTCTCAAACAAATTTCCATTGATTCTAATTTGTCTGACAGTAAATGATATTCCTCTTTAAAGAGGGGATTCAATGATAAACCCGAGGGCTTGAGGATTTTGCGGATTTTTTTTTGCCTTTGTAGATTTTCAAAGTATCTTTCAATGAAAATATCCCGACGGGATTAAATGAAAATTGTTGCATACCAAAAAACCAGCTTTTCATAAAGGAGTGATGATTGTTTGTTTGTTTAGTTTAAATTGCAGAAGCCGTTAGTTTTTTCATATTTTATACATCTGATTTTTAGTATCGGCCGCACAGCTTCTTTTTGGGCTAAAACCCTCAAGGAAACAAAAATGGTTTCTTTTATTGGTATTCTGCATAAAGTTTTATTTTGTCCTGTACTATTTCTGCAATATTAATAGTGAAGGAGAATAGCATACTGTGATTGTATACGGGAACTTCATATTTACAACAGTATTCAATCAAAACATAAACAAATTCTCATCTTTAGCAGACGCAACAACTACACATTACAGCTTTCCCAGTTTGCATCACCATACAAAATCATTTACGAAGACGATCTCAAAATCGTTACTTAGTTCTCATGTTTATTGGGACAACCTGTAGATAATTCCGTGATAATGATGTAATATCTCAAACTAGATTTAGTAAGTTTATTTTGATCTACAAAGACGATCTCAAAATCGTCACTTAGTTCTTATGTTTATTGGGACAATCTGTAGATAAATCCGTGATAAGAATGAAATATCTAAAACTTTATCTAGTAAGTTCACTTTGAGTTTTAATGTGGAAAGTGAAACTTAGCTTTATTGATTGATGGACAAATGCTTGTTTCAGGTTGGGCTTGTGATGGGTAAAGGTGGAGAAACTATCAAGGCCATCTGTGCACAGAGCGGAGCACACTGCCAGGTTGATAAAACAGCTCCTGAAGGCGCACGAGAGAAGTCCATTGTCATCAAGGTATGTTAAAAATTAAGTTTAACTAGTTCTCCTACTTATTACGATTCATTAATTCCGACCTTAGATCGGTATAACCAGGCGATAAATTATAAAAATATTACTGTAGGGTACTCCTGATGCTGTCGAGACCGCTAAGAGGTTGATTGCAGAGAAGGTTGGAGGAGGTGGACCTGGAGGACCAGGAGGATACGGAGGCAATGGACACTATCAGGTAGCACATGAGAGAGGAGGGTGGAATTGGAGGCAAACGAATGAAAGGGATGGAAAATGAGGGGACGGTTTAAGATTTAAAAACTGTTAAAACATTGGTTTTGAAATATTTATTTTTTAACTTGTTAACTTTACTATTCAGCCTGAACCTCAGTATGGAGGATATGAACCTCCTCAGGGTGGATACCAACCTCAGCCTCCACAGCAGGGAGTTCCAGTCAATCCATCTACTGGACAGCCGGTAAATATTAATATTGTTTGATTGTTCGTTCGTTCTGTCGTTCGATACTTCCTGCGTTCGTGCGTTATTTGGTTTGTTTGATTGAATCATGGATTCGTGGATTAGTGGATTCATAGATTCATGGATGCGTGGATTCATAGATTCATAGATTCATGGAGGCGTGGATTCATGGATTTGTGGATTCGTGGATTTTTGTGAATTCATGGATTCATGGATTTTTGGATTCATGGATTCATGGGTGCTTGGATTCACTCATGCGTGGATTCACGGATTCATGAATGCCTAGACTCATGGATTCAAGGTTGCGTGGATTCATGGATTCAAGCCTGGATTTATGGATTCAAGGTTGCCTGGATTCATGGATTCAAGGTTGCCTGGATTCATGGATTCAAGGTTGCGTGTATTCATGGATTCGTGAATGCGTGGATTCATGGATTTATGAATGCGTGGATTCATGGATTTATGAATGCGTGGATTCAGGGATTTATGAATGCGTGGATTCAGGGATTAATAAATTCAAGGATTCAGGGATTTTAAGATTGAAAATAGATTGATTTAAGATTGATTGATTGATTGTTTTCAGGATTACTCTACTCAATGGGCTGAGTATTACAGAAGCCTGGGTATGATCAAGGAGGCAGAGCTCATTGAGTCTCAGGTATATAATTATCAGCATAGCTGGGCACTATTGCGTTGGATACTCATAAACCTAATCGCTTGATCGATATTCACTGTGGGCACTTTTAATTTGAGGATCTATATCAAACTTTTAACTTGAGGATCTATTTAAAACTGTACCTTTCCAAAATTCCAGTTTAGATATTCCTCTCCTGATCAAAGCTCCCTTGATTGTATGCAATTAACATGGGGGATATCGAATAAAGATTAAACAGAAGATCGAGATCAAACCTTGATCTCGAAACCCACAATACATAAATTCTCAGTTCAAGATAAAGTGAAAATAGGGGATAAGTACTGGTGAGTGGTGGTCCGAGCAGGGACAGAATGTTCTCCCTTCGTTTAGATGCATTATATTAATCCAAAAATTCATTTTTTCCTTATACAGATTAAAAAATCTCTAATCCCTATTATATTTAGGAAAAATATATTGTAAAAGGGGGGGAGAACTATTCAAAGGAAATATATACCCCTTTGTTCTGTCGCGAATCGCTAAAAGATCACTGAAAATGTTAATTCACATAGAAATCCGTGAACCACCCTTTTACACATTTATGTTAAGGCTCGTGGTGGAGGTGCCCCTGGTGGTGCCCAACCTGGACCTGCTGGACTAGCCCAAGCTCCGGGTCCCCAGTCAACAGATTACTCTGCTCAGTGGGCAGAATACTATAGGAGTATAGGTTAGTACAATTTTGGTAACCAGCTTCTTGACACTTCTCTCTTGTCCTTTTACACCTTTTTGATCCTCCCTATATTCGACCATCTTCGCCAAACGTTAAAATTCTAGAGTAATTACTATAACAGTAATATTTTACACATGGCAAAAATTCCCTTTTTTCTAATAACTATATTTTTCATGGATTGTTTTCTGGGGGGCGGGGGTCATCTTTTTGTTACTTTAAATCTTCTTGTTTTTCGTACATTGCAAATGTGAAATAAATGAAAAATTATTATCCCCTATATATCAATTTTTGTACTATATTTATGAATGTACAGGAACCAGAAAATTATTATCCCCTATATATCAATTTTTGTACTATATTTATGAATGTACAGGAACCAGAAAATTATTATCCCCTATATATCAATTTTTGTACTATATTTATGAATGTACAGGAACCAGAAAATTATTATCCCCTATATATCAATTTTTGTACTATATTTATGAATGTACAGGAACCAGAAAAGCCCCAGGAAGCTTGAACGCTAATTTATGTACTGTAAAAATTTCGAATGTACATAAACTAGAAAAAGTACAAGGAATCTTGAATACTATATTTATTTACTGTATTTATGAATGTACACGAACTAGGAAAGTGCAAGGAAGTTTGAATACTATATTTATGCACTGTATTTATGAATGTACATGAATTAAGAAAGCACCAGGAAGCTTTATTTCTATATTTATGTACTGTATTTATGAACGTACATGAACTAGGAAAGCCCTTTGATCCTTGAATACTATATTTATGTACTGTATTTATGAATGTACATGAACTAGGAAAGCACCAAGAAGCTGAGGCTATTGAGAAGAATATGCGAGCTAAGTCTGGAAGTGTACCTCCAGCAGGTTATCAGCCTGCTCCACAGGTTAGCCTTTACTTCTAGACTAGTTTGAGAACCCAGCGTTACCCACGGTACTCTCAAACCAAACTAAGACCATTCCCGTGGTTCCCCCAAATTCTGCAATCAAAATTTGAAGCAAATCGGTCAAGGGGACCCTGAGTTATGATCGGATATACATTATACATAGAGACAAACGGAGATTACTACTTATATAGTTATTCAGTGGTAAGTCCGATTAACACGATAATATTTTGCTTTACATGATTGAAAATAAATGAGGTATCCATGTTTTTTTTACTTTAAAAATGTATTTTTATTTGTGGTTTTTTGGACAAATTAGACCTTTTTGTCCATGGGTACGGGGGCAAATAAGCATCGACCGTTATTTGAATGATTGATGGATTGCCTTGCTTATATAAATGATAATAATCGTTTATTATTTAGCCCGGATATGGAGCTCCTCAGAGTTATGCCCAGCCTGGGTATTACTAGTGTACTTCCGGCCTCAAGCTGCTGGAACATCCGGCGCAGTTGCGTCTGTAAATTCGGTGAGTTCAACGCTTATTTAATATTGACAAGCTGGTGTTGAATACACAGAATAGATACTATAAATATTTTATGCAAAAGATTATCTTATTTGATATTCAACCCTGCAATTTGCCAAGCATTCTTTTAGTCTAAAATACGATTTGATTTCAGCGTACTTCACATATGCACCAGGTTTTTTTTAAAAAGTCCTTTGAGCAAATTGCCATTCTCATTTGTAAATTCAGATTTTATTCAATTTCAACTTTTTTCCTCTAGTTTTACTTCGTTTCATAGTTTTAGTTTTCTTTTCATTGGAAATAATTGCCATTTTCAGGCAGTTTAAAGTATTTTACTTACTCTGGCTTTAGTATCAATTTTAAGTTTTCTGATGCCAGCTTGTGTAAATAATTTGCTTGAAAAAAATGGACCTTTCTGCAAGGCTTTTCAATTTGGGTCGGAAGTTGTCACAGTTAGCGTTTTTTCCGCAGCAAGAAAGGAAATGCTTTTGTTTTGGCAGTGAGAAAGGAAATGCGTTTTTATTTGGCAGAGAGAAAGGAACAATTTAAATGTTTATTTTGACTACTGTTTAAACTTTACAATTTAGACAACATGTCCTTAATCATTAAAAGAAGTAAAAATCCGCAATTAATTGAAAAGCCTTGTGATGTTTCGTTATTTCAAGCAATCATTTTTTAACTAGGAGTATTAAATATAAGTTGAATACAGAGAGATAATCTTTCATTTGCGTATTTTACTAAAATATGATTTGATTATCTCTAGGTTGACCCATCTTGTATTTAATTACTCCTATTCCCCTTGTCCCGCCTTGTGTCCTGATTATAGATGGGAATCTATTTGATACCCGTTTTTAGACCTTTAAGAGGCTGCACAACAATCTGAGGTGTAATTCATTTTTCAAAATTGTATGCTAGACAAGTTTTCTATTATAATTTTTTTTTTCTGACAAAAGATATAAAAACGAAACGATTTTTCAAACAGATAAAAAAATCGTTTGTCGTTTGAAAAATCGTCAAAGTTAAAATATATTTGATCGGGAGAGAAAAGTTCATAAAATGTAATTAATAAAGCAAAGTTGCCGAGAATACAATTTTGAGGTTTACTTACATTTTTGTGAAACACTTTTATCGTCTAAAAAGCCTAGAAATGTTTTAAAAACTGTTCTCAAAGCGATTCCCATCCCTAGTCCTAATACGGTTATTCGATGATATTCTTGAATAGTTTGATATTTTTTATCATATTATTAATATGCAATTAGTTATCTATAAAAATAATTCGTGATTTACTATTATTCTAAGTTATTGCCATGGTTTTAGTAATATTATTTAATAGTTATTATATTACCATAGTTTACAGTTTTAACGTAAGGTGTTTGAAGTTTATGCTTTAGTGATTAGTTTAAAGTTATCATATTAAGTGCTTTCATTCGTTGATCGTTATTTTTTTAAATGCTATATTTTAATGACAGTAATTTTAAAATGCTCTAGGTTGGTTAACAGTTGGTTAATATTTATATTTATGGGTTTATTGTTTATTTAGTAATCGTTTGTTGAAATTTGAATTTTATGCTATAGTTTAAATTATTTAAGAAATGCTATTCATAGTTCGTTACTATTTATATGCTAGTCATTTTTATTTAATGATAATATAGTTTAAATTTATTCGTTTATAGTTAAATATTTATGGGTTAGTAAGTTTTATCTCATGCTATAGTAGTAATTTATTAAGTGCCATAGTTTAGTTGTTATTTTGAACTATATTCGTATAGAAATTAAATTATTGAAAATTTTTTGTTACGCTATAGTTCCTGATTTAGTAACCAATAGTTAAGGTGTTAAATTTGTATTACGATAACTTTATTTGTAAATATAGTGATATTACGGGTTTAAAATAGTGACTAAATTTATTGCGTATTTTTTGATAATTGATAATTAGTTATTATTATTATTCGATTTTATCATCAATAATGTGTTACATGATTAAAAATAGGTCTGGACTCCTAGCTGGGACCCTGAACCCCCCTCTAGCCAGGCCCATTTTCAGGGTCCAAGGTTTCTGGTCCCCTTAATATTCTCCGTGATTTATTTCAGGTTTCCGTGCTTCGTGGATCCAGTATTTGTAAACCTCTACCATATTCCCAGCAGTATCCGACCTTACTACGCAACCTACCAACCACTAACCAATATTTGACCAGCTACAGTTGCACCTACCAGACTTTTTTCATTTGCATCGAGTAGATTGTTTACGTCTTGGTAAACTATCCGATGTAAAGGTGGGCGGGGACAGATACTGCTAGGAATATGTTGAAATAAGAACTTCTTGTAGTAAATATTAACCACTGTTTTCTCATTGTAAGTTCCCGTAATAAAACGCGTTAAAATATTTGCTGTTGAACCAGTTATTTGCTATGTTTGTGTTTATATATGTAAATTCTACCAATACTGTTTATCGTAATTTCATCAGCTCTCCTTCATCTCAACTCACAACCTCTGGATCTTCGTAATCTAGGTTAATGTCTTAATTTACTTTTTAAAAGATAATTTCAAAATCCCCTTTCTTGACCAATTAAACATTTTTAATATGTGTAGCCAATACTTATTGCAAAATACAACTTTGAGTTTTTAATGTTAATCAATTTTCCAGCAGAAATAGACCAATTTTTTAAATTTTTTTATGCTGCTAAACACTTTAATCTAAAGGAATAAAACGATGTCTTTCGCTATTTGATTTTAGAAGATGGGGGTAAGATCCCCCCTTTCCAAGTTCTTACACAAAAAAAACTCCCCCCCCCCAAAAAAAAAAAAAAAATATTTTCCCTTAATTCAAAATACGGCCCCGTTAGTCATGGACATATGATTGCGTCATTCTGGATTTGAATAAATCATCAGTTGAGCTCTGAGGAAACATCTGAACCTGGTATCTAGATATACCTGGTCCTGGATACTGTGAGAGACATCATGGAGCATGTAGTATAATAGAGGGGCAGTTGTAAGTTAATTGTATTGGGATGTATAAGTGGTAATAAAATTTCGATTTCTCGGTAATTGCAAGCTCTAGGGAAAAAATCCATGCCAACTGCTCGGAAACGAGTGCGTTAGAGTTCCTAAATGTTCATGTCGTAAGACATTTAAAAGTTTTAAATGAGATAGTAAAATTCCCCCCCCCCCAAGAAAAAAAATTATTTTCTTGCATAATTCCACGACGTAAACTCCTTAAGATAATAAACCTATAACATTTAGAATTAACTTCGCTTGTTTGTTGTTATCCAAAAAACGTGAAAAAGGCTGAACTGAAACTGATCCCGAGCTCAACAATTGTAAGGCAACTCGCAGAATCCCCATGGGATGGGTTGTGGCTGGTCAAAGTTGAAAAATTTCCCCGGTAAAATGTCGAAATTCATTAATTTTGAAAATGCATCAATTTTAACAGAAAACTCCGCGAAATTTGAGAACTAGTAAAAACTGCGGTTTTCAGAGTTCAAGGCTTATGTTCATAGAAGAAGGGGGTCGACCTATGTAAAGATTCAATGACCGAGCTTTTTTATTTTAGCACTTAAATGGACTAGTTGAATGCATTTGTTCTGCTTAAAATAATATAATTTTCCTAATTCAGGGTTGAAACAACCTTAGTGCCATTTGATATGCATAATGTCCTCCGAACCTTGCGAAACCGTCTCCTTGCCTTTATCTACCTCTCTAAATCTCCGCCATTCTGTCTTCATATCCTGCAGTTTGTTCTCCAATAAAAGATGTTTGGCTTTTACATTCACATAAAAAAAACCTTTTTCAAATGATCTTAAAACATTTTGTTTTGAAAAGTCTATTTTAATTGAGATTAAGACTTTTTAATTGAGATTAAGACCTTTTTTCTTCAAATTTAATTTCACCCAATAACTATTGCAGTTTTCATCTTTTATTTTACAGATGTATCTTGTACGAATTTAACTATTCACAGAACAAAATTGTTTTTGTGATCACTTGATTTTGTGCTTTCGTTCTATGCTTTGCGTAAGCTTTTCATAAGAAAACAAATTAAGATTAATTGATTAAATTAATATTTGAACTTTGAGGACTAGACTAAACGATTCTCCAAGCAAATGCAGATTCCACTATGAAGAGATGTATTTTGATTTTTGGTTGGTTAATTCATTAAAGTACAGCAAGCGGATATCAAGAGACGTATTTAGAGGCACGGAGACATTTTTGTGGGGCTTGGAGGAGATTCTGCGTATCAGGAGGCTCCGGGGGTCATTTCGCGAGGCTCATGGCGGCTTTGCATGCCCCCTTCCTCAAGGTAGATTCAAGTTTTTCTTAAAAGAAAGCAGTTTCGAAAGGTTGTAACGTACAAAGAATAAAAATAATAGAGAAGACTACAACAAGTTCGTTCTATCATTTGGTTAAAGATAAAAACTTTTTTTCTGAGGTGGCGCTAATTTACTAATGTTCGATTTAGTGGCAACTTTGACTTGGACCCTTCTCAATTTTACCTATTCCTGCTCATGCACTGGGTTTCAAACCAGCGCCGGAGTGCAGGGGTCAAACTTATGTAATACGTATATACACAGTACACAACAAAAAATAAAAGAAAAATTGAAAATTTTACTGTCGAACTTGTGATTAAGTCGCAGCTTTCTGGGAAAGGGACCAAACAGTTAAATCCGAGTGGGATCTTCACGGTTGTACAATTATTTGGACTGTAGGCGTAAATACAAATATTTCTCCATGTAAAGATGGCAATGCCCAATTTCCAATGGTACCCTTCAAAGCGTTGTCTGATCACTTGTGATTTTTCATTTAAGATGACTTTTGCATTTATCAGATATAACACGTAAACCATAGAACGACGGCAATATCATCCACATTATTGATCAAACTAAGTTGCTATAGACTAAAGATATAAATCGGGATTTGCTATTTTTTCAGAAAGGGTCGATTGAAATTAAGCTTACAGTTTATTCATGCAGTTCAGACAAGGAAGAAAATGATTTTATAAAAGATCGAAGAATGAGAATATCTTCCCTTATGTTGCTGATATTGAGGAAAGGTACAGGTGGGAAAGAGGCAAAAAATATTTACTTTGGAGTCGTTAGATATTACATAACGCAAAATATGTATTTTACTGAGGAAGTAATAGTTCTGAGTTCTATTAATAAAACTGCACTACAAAGTTTCCAGTTATCAGGTTTTACCTATTTTTATGCTGACTTGAATATATCAATAATTTTAAAAACTTTTTCATTCGTGATTTTTATAGTTTTGTTATTCTCATGTTCGTAACTAAACTATGGCTCTTAATCATGATAATATGATGTTGATATCAATTGTGTGCATCCGTTTCTTTTATTTTGTGGGTAAGATTAAAGGGATTGTAGTAGTTTTAAAGTGAGATTCCAGGGTGATGCCCGATTCGCAATGGTACCCTAAAAGCTTTATGCTTAAAATTTGGAAGATTCTGCTGTTATCTGTAGCTTGCCAGTGTTTATTTTTTACATTTTCATCTTTGTTTCTGTAGCAGCAGAAATGTTAGTTACTTTTTAAGAGAATCTACAATCTAAAATTATCATGTTTCATGGGGAGCCGGAAGAATATTTCTTATGTTTGGTTAATGATTAACTTAGCTTTAAAGGGAATACCACTTGCGAAATAGAGCTTCTCTTATATTTACGTCTGCTATCCCTTAACAGACAGAAGGACGAGAGATGTACTCTTTGTTGATCTTTGGTAACTTATGTGTCTTTTAATCTAAACTGTTTATTTGTCAAAAACCCTTATTGTAATATCCGTTTATCTGTGGCAACCTTGTAACATGTAAATCTGAGATATTTCAAACTTGGACAATTTGATGAATTCATAGTTTGGCCATTATCGAAGGGGACAAAAGTTGCAAAGATAAAGCTAGGGATTAGAAAAAACAGAGTTTGAGGTAAGTGATAAGTTTCGTAACTCATTTGTTTTGTTAATTAATCCCAATGGCTGTGCTCGACCTTGAGCAAAATAACCGGATTGTTACATCATGAACATTGAATAAAAGTCTCAAAGGCACGGTCTTTAAACTCCAATTTTCTAAAAACAAGTTTTTTTGCAACCCTAATGTAGCAAACCTTGCTTTTCAAACTATGAAATCTATTGCACTAAATAGTCAAAGTTTTGAATATCAAATGTCTATGTCTGGTTGGTATTGGTAACTTTTTTACTCATTTGTACTTGGTTACCTTTATCAGCTTACTACTGGAAAGGCATAACAAGTTAAAAAGGAATTAAGTCTTTGCCACAATCTCTGATTTTCGAATCCCTATATCTTTGCAACTTAATGTCGTAGAATTCTGTTAGATCAAATGCCCTAAGTTTGAAAAATCGATGTTTTACACTAATAGCTTGCAAACATATAGGTATTTGAATATTTGAGTTTGTGGCAAATATACAATTCCGTTACAACAATTACTACTCTTGCCATCATCTCTGTTTTTGGTATCAAATGTAACATGTTTTGATCCATGTCTCTATTCTAACCTGTTATAAGATGTATTCAGCATTGCAGAATCAAATGTTCTGTTGCGCAGGATGAAAACTTTTTTAATTTGTTTTAATTTTTGATGTTTTACCGTTTTCATTGAAATATTGATAACAGGTGTTTATTTCAGGGTCTACTATTCAGGACCCAAAGAAATCGCCAGCGATTGGGTCGGAATATGGTGACGGTAAGTTTTTTTTTTTTAATTCTTAGACATACTCAAATAGATTCTAGTACAATAGCTGGCTGGCAACGTAGAATTTTAAACTTAGTACAACTGTATTCTCACGTCAATAGTGTCAATTCAGTTTTTGTGTCAGACAAAATTATTAATAATTATGATAATTTTAGAATAAAGTCCTTATCTTACAATGAAATAAGTGCAATTTTATGTTCTGTATTTTCTGTTTTAACATTTCTTTTCTTTAATCTTGGAAAACATGTCAACTAATGTGAGAAAAGTTCGTTTTTCTTGGTATATTTGACACTAGTGACGTCGTGTATAGTTGGTCCATTTCTCTGTTTCCACCTATTGTACTTGATAATCTATTTGGACATACTAGATTGTGTTAACTGTAGATTAACCAAAAACTGAGTAACAAGTTGGTGGCACGAAATGGGCCAATATGACTAAAAATAGTTTCTAACATATCTGAAAACTAACTCTGATTTTCAAATCCCTATGTCTTAGCAGTCCAATGTCTGACCTTATCTTTTCCAAACTGAATTCTTTTGGATAAAATTATCTAATTTTGAAATATCAAAGGTTTTCACCAACATTTTGCAACGATATAGAGAATGAAAACTTTGAGTTTGTGGCAAGGACTCTATGCCTTAAAGTTACCACTCGGTGTTAAATTTAATTCATACTTTTCCCTTTTCAGAGAAATCAATTCCACAAAGAAAGCAATTAGGAAGAAAAAGAAGAATGCCGAATTTAGAAGTAAATCTTAGTTATTGAAAGATGACATTAAAATTGAAGTCCCAATTTACTTTTATCTTATTGGTGTACTGGTTGGCCTTAAAATGTCTGTATACACTTTTTAAAGAATTATCATGATCGAGAATCAACTTTTCTGTAAAAGGATTCAATATAAAACTGAAATAATTAATGAGATGAGAATATAAATTCAAAGAATATTGCTTGTTTTATTTGTTTAACCACTAGAAGTTTATGTTACAACATTAGCAGTTTTGTTATTCTGTTTCTCCATAGCTCTGTTCTCTCCTTTCTTTGGTTGCAAGTTCTTTGCTTTTTGTATTTTCCTAAATAAAGACTGCAAGGAAAATAATAAAGTTTATATGGCGATTATACTAATAACAACAGGTTTTTCATGTTATTTTTTTTTTGGCCGGGGGGGGGGGGGGGATTTATTAAATTTGAAAAACGAACACCATTACTGTTCAGGATTGATAAAATGTCTTTAAGACCAAAAGTATTTACTAATGCACTGGAATTATTATTAATTTTGCCTTTTTTAGAAAATGAACACCTAAGGCTCAAATTTTATTAATTAGACTGATTTTCCAAGCGAAGATGGACTGGTTCTTTTGATCAATTTTAGTGTGGTCAACATTTTTGTTACTTACCTTTCTGGCTTTAAACTGTTCCAAAATTCAGCTCGCTCTGCAACCTTTCCCCCTGTAGAGTGTATAATATCTGATGAATTTGATAATGTAAATGAAAAAATTATGCTTCATCGATTGGACTAACAGTCAATTGTACTAAAGTCAGCTGTTAACAAACTGGTTTTTAGTTTATTTCAACGTTAGAACAGAAGATCAAATTATAATTAATTATATCCCAATAATAATATATTTAAAAAGTTTAAAATAAATTTTAACACATATGGACATCATCATCATGTTGCCGCAGTAAGGACTCTGATTAGTAAAATGTTAACTTAAAATATTTATCTATAAGTACCTGTTGAAGAAAGCTTGTTTTGAATCGATTTTCTTAGTTTTCCATCAGGCCTGCCAAAAACATGAATTGTTGACATATAATTATAGTTCATTTAGGTAACAGATTAATTACCACACGCCTCCTTAATTGTAGTAACACACTAGAGATTGCCAAGTTCAAATTTATAAAGTTAATTCTTTAAAATTGATTTGAACAAGTAAAATAAAATAAATTAAATTTTATGAACTCAAGCGTCCCATATCAAATTAAATTATCTAAAAGCTTAAAATACTCACATAATACTCGAAAGCCCTAGTATTTTCTGCATGCAAATTTTCTTTAGCCTTATAGAATTTTCTTAAATGATTCATTCTTTTTAAATTTTCTGATAATTCCTGAAAATCACAATTTAAACCAATAAACAATCTTATATGATGTGGGACACTGTCTGTAAGATTATATAATTACCTGCAGGATGAACAACATAAATGACAGAATCCAATATGGGCCCTGAACCACACAGCATATAATGTTTTAGTAGGAATAATCCAATCCTTATTTTCTTTACTTATTTTTTAGGATCAATAACGTTTTGGAAATATCTTGCAGAACCGTTCATTTCGCTGTTAGAAAACTAAACCATTAAAAGCTTTCCTAAATCTAACTATGAATTACTCCACTCTACTTAAGCTACACAAAAGTAAAGCTTAAATGCACTGTATAAAGTTTTTAGAAGTTAAGCATTCATAACAGCTATGGGGGTAAAGTTCTAAATGTCCTTTAAGAAACCAAATTGAACTCGAATGAATTAGAAACCCTTGTTAAATATTATAGAACCATTATTAATTATGGAAACAATCCAGTTTCTTTGTCTCATAATCTTTTGCAGCATGTCACACCTTATCTCTTTGTTGCATCCTATAGAGTTAGCTTAATTCATCAATGGATTAAGAAGATTCTGACCTTATTTCCAAAATTTCTAAATGGTTTATCATTCTTAACAGCTTCAGAAAATTTCTGTATATGCCTTAGCAGAACCAAATTTATTCAGAAGAAAATAGAAACCCATGAGTTAGAATGATACAATTATTATCATTGTATCTATGCTTTCCTATTGTTTATGTTAAGTCTTGATTTTGCCCGCCTTTCATAAAACTTTTTAGGTCCTGTTCCTATTACCTTGAATAATAAAAATAAGATAAAAGATACTTATCAATCTCAATTTAATTTCTTAACAACTCTAAAGGAAACTGGTTGTAATACTTGCTCTTTGTTTGTCAATAAGATTAACAAACTTATTCTTTAAATTTGCAAATGTTTTGTGATTTTTGAATAAGAAAATTCTTAGGTTAGAATTTTGATGTGTTAATCTTGTGTTAATCTTGAATGCTTGATCTTGTTATCTCTGTAAACATTTATAAATTTGAATTTTAAAAAGTTAGCCTTGCAGTGTATGATCACCACAGGATAATGAAGAGGAATTAGATTAATCCATTAGTCTACATAAGATAGAGATCAATGCTTAATCTCTAGATTAACAACAGAAAAGTTCTGACTTCAGTCAACCTTCTTTGCTAGCCATCCTGGTGGTCGGAGAAGGTTGGTGTTCACGGCTTGTCCTGCCAGAGTTGGCTTTGTTCCTGACTCTTGAAATTTTTGATTCAATACTGCAGTTTGAAGAGCTAGGCTTTGGTTTCTTACTGGAGTTTGTTGTGTGGAAGATTGTGGTTCATCTCCAGGGTGATTCTCTGGGAGTTCTGTTTTAATGTCAGCTTGGTTTTTCATTACTGGTTGAAGGGTTGCAATGTCCATTGTATTAATACATTGGTTAGTTACTTCATTCATATCTTCTAATTCATCCAAGTCCTCTCTTTCCTCACCTTGCTGAAGTATCAAATTGTAAATTCAATTAAAGGGGCCGTAAGCATAATTTAAGTGGCCCTTTATGCAAAGAGGCAATGCCCTTAAAATCTTTAACTGTTCATCGAGTAGAGAGATCTTTCTTTTTAAACATAGCAAACCCACTTGAGTTCCATTAAATTGCAACTGTATGATGTGTACTGTCTATGCTTAACTGGCTGATCTGTTACTTGTGTAACTCAAAAGTAGATTGACTGTCTTACGATAATAGCGTCTTCCTACATTTTAAAGTATTTTTTTATTTTCTGCCGCTTTAAGAAAATAACTCATGATATTTCTTGAATTTATAACAACATTACATTAGATTAATAGGGATTTGTCCGACATCCTTGATCAGTCAAAGGTTCAAAGGGAAACATTATAAATTGATACTAAATGGAAAAAAGGTCACTTGAGTTACGCTTACAGTTACTTTAAGTCGTCTTTATTAAAATTTATATTCTGGCATTTTTAAAGTGGTTATTTGTCTGCTAGAAAACTTACGGGTAGATCTAATGTACTGGCTGTATCCATCCTTTTTCTATTTTATGTTGGAAAATGTCTCAAAAGGGCTTTAGACGATTGTAAGTCACCAACAGCAAAATATATATTAAAAGTAGAATAATTAACAGGACCATTTTCCAATTCCTTAAATAAGCACTGGCAGTGTAGTCAACCATATTTGTTCTGCTTAACTCATTGTCCTCAAACTGAAAAAAATCAGTTTTTTATTGTAAAAAAAAAAAATTGAGTTTAGATGGAAGCTTTAATATCTCTATAATCTTCAACTATTCCTTTAAAAAATCTTTAGTATTTTTTTCTTAAATCATTACCTCTCTGTCTTGTTCATCTTCTGCATCTAGTATTGACAAATTATCATCATCCTAAATTTAATTAAGTAAATTTTAAGTGGAACTTAAAAACTCTTTATGATAAAAATACCTTTTCCAGTTTATTTCTTGTTTCTTCTAAAGATTGATTTTTTTCATTGCCATTAAAAACATGTTCACAGGATACTGCTTCAATTGATCTGGCAGTGCTTCTGTTGTGGCCTTGGCTTGATACAGCAATTTCAGAAACAGCAACATTAGATACAATCAATTTTGAAATGTCTGATCTTGAAACAGCTGATCTTAAAACAATTGATCTTGAAACAGCTGACCCAAAACTGTCTGCATTAGAAACAGCTGACTTTAAGCTAACTGCACTGGAGACAGCTGATGTGGTTTGATTTGAAAGTTTATTGGAATGATTCTCAATATTGGCAAATGACGTCATATATGAATGTTTCTTAAAAGTGATAGGATTCTGAAATTAAATATTGTTTTTATTTAATTAAAATCTGCATTTAATCATCATCTACCTGTCGTAACAATGGAACTTCAGAGTTGTCAATTTCATTGGCTGGACCTTTTATTTTACCACTGTAAGTGACACTACTAGTAACCTATTAGAAGGTAGTTAAATATCAGCAGATGTTTATGATATTACAAAAATGACACTTTGTGTGACTAGGAAAATCTTAACAGTAGTCATTAATTTAGTTAAAAGTAAAGTTACATAAAGATGATGTACCTTTCTATCTAGTGTGTACAATGTATCATTATTGGATTCCTCTGGATGTTTTTGTAAAGCACCCATTGCAAGGACCAAATAAGGAGTAAGTGCTTGAACTTCAGCCCTAACAGTAGGATTTATAAGATTTTGAAAAAAAACAAGTAAGGACTGAATTACCGTATCTCATCAATTATTTGTTCTTTCATCTCTCTAAGTTTAGTTTCAAGTTGATCAGTGGTGATGCAAAATGTTCTATCCATGCCTAGAACAGCTAACACGCTTTTAGAATGTTAGTTTCTTTATAAAAATTATATCCACAGGAGAATGATTGTTAGCTTGCCAGTTGTGTATTATGGATTAATAATAATAATTTAAATATGTATATATAAATCCCAACCTGTTCCTAGATTCTGAGAGTGAGAATTCTCATCTCGAAAACTTTCAAGGTCTGCTATTACTCTGAAACACAGTTGATGTTTGCTGTGATAAATGAAAGATGAGATAAAAATATAAATAATAAAAATGAGTGTACAGATTTTTCTGTAATGCTTTTAGGTGTTGGGTATTCTGAAAGGCATTTTCCCAAGATTAACTTCAATAGTGACAATTGGCTAAGTGGAAACTTCCTAAATGTGCACTTTTCCTAAGTCAAAACTTCCCAAAGTTTAGGTTAGGCCTTCTGAGGTGCTGCAGACTGCAATGGAGGCGGAGAACTGCAGCTTTATGATATACTTGGGAGGTTGCCCCTTGGATTAATACCATTGTAAAATTGACGCTTGGAAGAATGCCTTTAGAAAAATATCAACATTGCAATGGAGGCGGAGAACTGCAGCTATATGATATACTTGGGAGGTTGCCCCTTGGATTAATACCATTGTAAAATTGACGCTTGGAAGAATGCCTTTAGAAAAATATCAACATTTTCTGTTAGTGGTTTGAGGTATCAAGCAGTTATTTTTGTACCTTAACAGTATTTCTTCGATGTAAGAAACCGAAACCATATTGTCAACTCTGTACATTCAGCTCATGTAATTATTGTAGTTGGCAAGTTTAAAGGTCAAATTTCTTGAAGACGGAATGAGAAATGATTAAAACCATCATTTTTTGGCCCATTAAATAAAATAAAGTTTTTCTGAAATCTATTTTTTGATATTGTGCATGTGATCACGATTTACTGTAAGGAAACAATAGGGTTCAATTAATGTTTTTTATTTAAGAATTTAAGAATTACTTTCCTCTGTCTGTGGCTGTTTTCATCTATAAAAACAATTAAGAATTAATTTTTCCATAGATCTGTGTTCTGGCGGATTTTTTCATTACCTGGAGTTGCCACCTCTGATTGATTTGCATCCTGTAAATTATTTATAGAGGTAATCTTAAAATTCAATGGAAGTTATTAAAAATTTAAATGGTTATGTTTATTTAAGAAATACTTTTCTCACATTTTACCTGTGAACCCATAGATAACCTACTTATAGCTCTCCCTTCCATCATACCTTCTTCGTTTGGTGAAAGACAGGTTTTTGATGCTTTTCTCTCAATGATTGAGCATACATCAGTCTCACTAGTAATGTCTTCTTTTTCTTGTCCTTTCTCATTATGTCCATTGGCAATAATATCACCATCAATTTGTGTTTCAAAGGAATACTTTGAATTGGAGTGTGTTGAGCTTTGAATTTTAGCAGCTTTCAGACATATATCATCACTGATTGTATCATCTTGCTGAGTTTCTTTCTTATTTTGTTCAGAATACTCAGATCCGCTAAGATCATCTTCTGCTTTATTCCCAAACTGGTTTTGTGTTTTTAAACAATAATCTAACTTGGTGCTGTCTTCAGAACTATTAATGGGATCTGAAGTGGTGAACAAATTTATGTTAATGTCTTCATCATCATGTAGAGAATCTGTTCTAGTAAGACGAGTAGAGTAGGAGAGATTTGTTGCTGAATCCAGTTTATCTATGCTAGATTGTCGTGTAGAGTTGTTGACCATTTTATCTTCCAGATTATCATATGAATGAGGTCTTTCTTGATGGTCAAATATGTCTTTGTTATTCCTTGGTGCTTCAGGGCAATTGTCATCAAAATCACTGATTTGTGTTTCTGAGATATCTCTTTCTTCAAGATCAATTGTTGGCTCAACACTCTCACCCTGATTCATGATCTCTCTGTCTTCCCCATTAGTTTGTGCGATAGGACTTAAATCTTCACTGATTTCTTCGTTATTTTCTTGTTCAGCATTAATTTCAGAATTAACTATTGGGGCTATTAATATGTCCAATGCAGCAGCAATATTCGAACCTAATGATTTTTTGTTTATAAACCTTTAAATTTATATAATTAACAACTAAATTTAAATATAAGTTTTGCGATGTTAGCAATATTGGTCGTTTTTTTCAAAAGAATTTTTTCTTCTGGAAATTTTAAAAAATCAGAGCGGCCCAAATTAATTGGAAAGGAAAAATTGTAACCTGAAATCTTTTTCAAAATACCATTTTTTTCAGGATCATTTTTTTCTTCCATTTTTCTCAAAAATTTACACTTTCTAGAAGAATAAGATTACCACAGCAATTAAAGTAACGCCATTTATTTACTTCTACATATTTGATATTTGCATGTATGATTTACTTTTTGTAAAACCACTTTTTTTAAAACTTAAACCGGTTCAATAACGTCTTCATAGTTCAACTATTTCTTGTTATTCATTAAATCTGATCTCAGTCCTGTTTATTTCTAATGAGGCATTAGACACTTTATCATTGGCAATTTACCAAGGGCAAATCATTCCCAAAGGGTATTTTCTCAAGTGTATATCTTCTTCCACTTCTTTATTCCACTTGGCACTGGTGTGCCACTGCAACTATTTTGGACATGAAATATCTCTTTAACATAATGTTTCTCGATTATTTTAACTTAATTCGATAGACCAAAAATGTTATAACATGCCGTGAAAAAAGTATAATTTTCTGAAATGTTTGTTCTATGAATTGCATGCTATACTAATGTTAAGCATAAACAAAGCATGAATTGTGCACAAAAGGCTTATGAAACATAAAACAGAATTCACTTAATGGTATATTTGAAGATTTTGTTGTGAACTTGTAAATATGTGTGAGTTGTGTGAATAGTAGATATCTATTGGATCAAAACAGGGTTATGGAATAACTATACTACATATTTCACTTTAGTTCATAAATTCTTTCATAAATAGTATAGTTTTCCTGCGTTTCAAAATTTCACTCGAGAAATTCATAGTTTTTTTTTAACTTTTTACATTTTATAAATCCCATATCTTCTAGGTTATCAATTGACCTTCAAAATGAACTTTCAATGTCAAAAAAACCCTCCCAATCCACTGGCTTGAATCGATACATAGAATAATTACATGTGGTTCATACTATTTAAAAATAATGGATTTTCTTGTAAAATATTCTTTTAATTCACTTTGGAATCTTGCAATGATATACAATGACAATGATCCCAGATAGCTAAAAAAACAAGCTTGTAGATTGCTAAAAAACGAGCTTAAAGATTGCTAAAAAAAACAAGCTTAAAGATTGCTAAAAAAACAAGCTTAAAGATTGCTAAAAAAAAACAAGCTTAAAGATTGCTAAAAAAACAAGCTTAAAGATTGCTAAAAAACAAGCTTAAAGATTGCTAAAAAAACAAGCTTAAAGATTGCTAAAAAAAACAAGCTTAAAGATTGCTAAAAAAACAAGCTTAAAGATTGCCAAAAAAAACAAGCTTAAAGATTGCTAAAAAAACAAGTTTAAAGATTGCTAAAAAAACAAGCTTAAAGATTGCTAAAAAAACATGTTTAAAGATTGCTAAAAAAACAAGCTTAAAGATTGCTAAAAAAAACAAGCTTAAAGATTGCTAAAAAACAAGCTTAAAGATTGCTAAAAAACAAGCTTAAAGATTTAAAAAAAAACAAGCTTAAAGATTGCTAAAAAGAATAAACGCCTAAAGGGATTGTTCTGGTAATTTAAAGTGACCCCTTATTAAAAAGAGGGGCATCAGTCATCGTTCAATGCTTTATTTTATCTTTATAATGTGAAGGATATCAACGTTTTTCTAGCTGGGAAAGTTTTAATTCTTACAACTTGAAAGCAATTTTCTCAATACCTAAAATTTGAAGTTATTATTGTTGTATGAAGGATAACGTACTATACGAAATCTTCGTATCTCCACTTAACACCAGTAAATGATTCCAGAAATGGTTATATCATTCTTAAAAAATAATTTATATTCCTGCCATCCATGATCAGACATTCAGATTCTTCAAATGGATTGTTACTCAAAACTAGATCATAAAGTTGCTTTAATTTTCTCTTGAAAACTTTAACGTTAACCCTATCCCTGCTGGGGACCCCAGCAGGAATAGGGTTAAGAGTTCAAATGGTTGATATATTTGATTAAAATAAAACATAAACAAATGATTTTACAATCAACATTTTATCCTTATATTTATCCTCAAATAATCTTTCCAGAACATTTTCGGATCTTTTTCGGCTTTTTTCATCGGCAAGATATCTGTTAGTAAATTTGATTAAATCGGTTCTTGTTTTTTGGAACTAACTGTATGTTTAAAGAGATCTTAAATAGCATTAATAAAAGAGGGCCGGGTAAATATGAAATCGGTTCATGTTTTCTGGAACTAACTGTATCAGCATGTTTAAAGAGATCAGAGGGCTGGGTGAATATGAAATCGGTTCATGTTTTTTGGAACTAACTGTATCAGCATGTTTAAAGAGATCTTTAATGGCATCATTAAAATAGGGTTGGGTGAATATGAAATCGGTTTATGTTTTTTGGAACTAACTGTATCAGCATGTTTAAAGAGATCTTTTAATGGCATCATCAAAAGAGGGTTGGGTGAATATGAAATTGGTTAATGTTTTTTTGAAACTAACTGTATCAGCATGTTTAAAGAGATCAGAGGGCTGGGTGAATATGAAATCGGTTCATGTTTTTTGGAACGAACTGTATAAGCATGTTTCAAGAGATCTTTAATAGCATCATTAAAAGAGGACTGGGCGAAATTGATCAAAACAGATTTACTGAGCTCGTAATAGAGAGGAGTAGTCTTTATTACTCAGTTAGATTTCATTACTCAGACGTTCAAAATATTTTCCTTGTATAAAAAGGAACAGTTTTATAAATTAGAGTGATATCTATGTAGTTATATATATACACTTGGCTTGTCTGTTTGTTATCTGTTTATTCGTAAATGTAACCGATAAACGTAAAAACGGCTGAACCGACAGGGCCAATAATTTTTTGTGGGACCTCAAAAATGATCCCAGGAAAGATTAAGGATGGTTCAAATTGAAAATTTTCCTTAAAGGGGATGTTCGCGATAAAATGAAGTGCTTTTGATAGCTAAGTAATCTTACTTCTATCAGTTGTTTCTTTAAGGAGAAAATTGTTAAAAACGACTCATGTAAAGAACGTAGTGTCCATTCAAATTCAGAAAGTTGCAACATTCAACTCGAATCGTAAAAAATCAATTTAATTCCAGAAAAATCATACAGATATTACAACCAATAATCATCGATAATTTTTCGACGCATTCGTATATAGTTATTATTTCATAATATTTTTTTTTATTTTTAGGATCTGAAAGTTGCTTTTGAAAACATTTATTCCTGTTTCGAGGATTTTGGATAATGAAGACGACATTTTCATATTTTCCAGGAATGTTAGAAAATCCAGCGGCTGCGAAATATTATTTAAAAAACGAAATCAAAAATATTAGGAAATATTAACTCTATACGAATGCGTCTAAAAATAATTGATGACCATAGTTTGTAATATCTGAACGATTTGTTTGGAATTAAATTGATTTTTTTACGATCCGAGTTGAATGTTGCAACTTTCTAATTTGTATGGACGCTACGTTCTTCGGTATGAGTCGTCTTTAACAATTTTCCTTATAGACGCAACAGATAGAAGTAAGATTACAAGCGATCAAAAGCGCTTATTTTTCTCGGTAAGCCTATACCCACTTTCATTTTTCGCGAACACTCCTTCTAAAAACATTATTTTGTAGCTGTAATATTTTGATCTTTAAAAGATCACTGATTATAGTTCAAATTATAAATTAAAAATTTATCATAGAAGGAAGACGACACTCGAGTTTCGTTTTAATATAAGTAGCTCGGTCATCCGTTATCTTATAGGGCAATAATGACAATGCTGACAGTGCTGACAGCTTTAATTCTTTCATGTTTATTCAAACTCACAATACAAACACCGCGAGGTAAATTGATTCAGAATCAGTTTTCAATTTTCATCACTTAAGAATTTTAAAATTATTTTGCCACATCCGGTCTGTTTGTAAATATATATAATGAAATTAAATGGATTCATTGATTTAAAGACTGATTTGTTTTAACGATTTTTTTCGGTTATCACACATTTAATAGTCCATATTAATGGAAAATCCTTTTAAACTGATCAGAATGAAATTAGTTCTGTCTCAAAATAATTTCGCTTTTTTAAAAGTTGGCAAAGTAAATTTAAAAATCAGAAAAATTGCCAATTCTGTAAAATCGTGATCTCTATATATAAAGTAGTATGGATGTCCGATCATAAATCAGAAACTCCATGATCTATTGGCCGGCAATTTTGATTGCAGAGAACTCGTTAGAATCACGGAAAGTTCTTTCTCTGGTTTAAAACCAACGACTCAAAACAACCAATCCTGGTTAGGTGGGTCCAAACTGCATAGTGAATTGTGATTGCTTATTTGTAATATCTCATGCTTTGTAGTTGAAATATGAAATGAAATATGAAAACTTTCAAGTTAATGATTTTATTGGGAAAACTCTACGCAAAGCTGGGTTTCCAAGTTTACAGTATTCCAATGAATTATGAAAATTTGAAAATTTTGGAAGATTCTGCTGCTTGAAACAAGTTTGAGAATGTAAAAGCAATAAATATTATAAAACAGAGAGGCACGAGGCACCTTGAAAGCATACTTTTTGCATATGTGACTTAAAGGTTGCTATAACAAGCTCTCACATATAAATCTAAGAGAATTTGGGATATTACTTGTTAAAAATTGAAGTGCATCTAATTTTACAAAAAGAAACGAGTACAGTGATAATCAGAAAACAATGAAAAAGAAAGACGACTTAATAACAATATTGAAGTGTACTTAATGTTGTTTAAAAGCAAACAGTATTACCTGTTTTATCAAGTGAAATGGGTCTGTTTACACAACTCAATTGCTGTGTCTAATATTCATAAAATTATTTAAAGCCATATCTTGAGTCTAAAACTCGTGTTTTGGTTATCACGCGTGTAAGTAAAAAAAAGGCCAGGGATAGCGACACTTAAAAGTCTTGAAAACTTTTTATTGGAGCCTGAATGTGTTTGCCTCTTTAAAAAAAAGAAAAAATTAAAACCATCTTTTAAGTTTTCGACATTCAGAATATATTTTTTTTAGATTTCCTGGTATCCGAGGAGTATGATCCTATCCACTACCCTGAGTATTCAAAACACTGTACTCAATCTAAATTTAAAACTCAGCAAACATTCAGAAGTAAACAAATATTTGACAATAAACTCAAATTATTTACATAGCGTTTTGACAAACTGTTGAGCGTGTCTTCCCTTTATAGAGATCGAGAGATCGACCCCTTGGAATATTTTAGCTGCACTGCTCGGCCCCCCTGGAATATTTAAGCCGCACTGATCGGACCTCTGGAATATTTGAGCCGCACTGCACGGCCCCTCTGGAATATTAAATCCATACTGCTCGGCCTTCTGGAATATTTGAGCCGCACTGCTGGGCCTTCTAGAATATTTAAGCTGCACTGCTCGGCCTTCTGGAATATTTGAGCCGCACTGCTGGGCCTTCTGGAATATTTAAGCTGCACTGCTCGGCCTTCTGGAATATTTGAGCCGCACTGCTGGGCCTTCTGGAATATTTAAGCTGCACTGCTCGGCCTTCTGGAATATTTGAGCCGCACTGCTCGGCCCCCTGTTGGAATAGTTTAGCCGTGCTGTTCATCCCCTAGCCTGCCTTAGTCGCAGCCCTTAGTGCAACAACCTAAATAAAAGAGAAAATTAAAGTTTAACTTTCTTTAACAATTTTCCAAAACTTAGAACTTGAGATTAACATTTTTTAATTCTTTGTATTTCAATAGTTTGCAATGGTGCGCCATTTTTTATCTTATTAACAGGGTTACCCACAAAGAATGAGACTTCAGAGACAACTGTACAGAATTTATGCTGTCTATTGCTTTATATTTAGGATTCCCTGCCTCTATAATTTGGCTTCTTTCGTTGCCAAGTCAATAAATAGGCCATTAAGGACATTATTAATGGCAGAAGACGTAATTTAACCTTGTTATCGTCATATTTTATGAGTTTCAGGTCGTCTTTACAGTCTCATCCTTTGTGAGTAACCCTGTACATCAATAAAAAATCTGTCTTAAGGATCTTTGTTCCTGGATAACTTGGACCGGAAAATGAAGAGAGTGGCCGCAGAACAGGAAATGCTTGTCACATTTTAGTCAATATTCAAAGAGACTGTTATAGTTGTACACACTGTAGACATAATGCTAAGGGACCCTCCAATTGTACAGCGGTATGTCAGATTCACAGTGAAACGAACCTTTTTAAATAATCATCAGACAAAGGTTTAAATTGGGCACCGTTGTGATTTGGACATGCCAGTCTGACTATAGATG